CCAGCCCCCCGACCCCTGCCTGCTCCCCCAGCCACCCCATGGCTGCCCCACAAGCCCCAGCTCCTGGCCCTTTAAAGAAAAGCCCCGGTGCTCACTGGATGCTGCTGGGCAGGGGGTGATCCCTGCTGCCCCCCACTGCTCCATGCTGCATAGAGAGCTCTGTAGGAGCACCCCCCACTCCCCAGTTCCCCTGTGGCCACCCTGCATGCCGCAGCTCTGGCCCTTTAAGAAAAATGAAAACAGAGAAAAATCCTGGAACTCACCACTCCTGCAGCAGCCTTGGGGCTTTAGGGGACTCATGCAGAGCCCCCCACATGGCACAGAGTAGTGGGGGGCAGTGGGGATTGCCTCCTGCCACCAGGAATGTTGGGTGCGGGGGTTTTCTCTTTTTAAAGGGTCGAGTTGTGGTGGGTAGGGCAGCCATGGAGGGTACTGGGAGAGCAGGGGAGAGTGGGGGGCTCATGCAGAGCCCCCCATGCAGTGTGGGGCAGTGGAGATCACCGCCCCCTGCCTGGCAGCACCCGCTGAGTGAGGCTTTTTTTTCCGCTAGTGCCAGAAGCTGGAGTGGGTAGGGCAGTCATTGTCAGGCTGGGAGAATGGACAGGGGATGGGCCTGGCTGATTCAGAGATTTGGCAACAGCCGAATCTCCAAGTCAGATTCAGCCGTAACGATTCAGGACAGTGATTCGAATCACCAAATCGAATCACTGTCCCTCGCATCAGCTGAATCTGAATCCAAGCAAATACTAGCCGCTTTGCACAGACCTATATTGCAGCATCTGGACCTCAAGACTTACAGAACAATAAAACATCAGAAATAAATACTGATTGTGATGGCCATCTAGTTGCTTTCCAACATTATAGATGGCTGTTTTACATCAAACTATCAAATCCATTTTTTTGGTAGAGGGCGAAAATATCACTAAATGTCATTTGAATTATTTTACATACTAATCTGTGTAAAATACCACCTATTTTATGTGTTAATGCAACAATATAAGCAAAGTTTTTGTTGTTTCTATCTAATCTAGCATTAATGTATGCAAGCATTTTTGGAAACGTTTCTGCAATAATCCAAAGACTGTATTCAGGAACAGCACGGTATCACATGCAGATGCTACGAGTAAAGGAGTTTATACGCTTTCATCAGATTCCCAACCCTTTGCGGCAGCGACTTGAGGAGTACTTCCAGCATGCATGGACATACACCAATGGCATCGATATGAACATGGTATGTAATTCTGCTCTAGTGGCACAGGTGGTGATAAAGTAACAATGGCCAAGTTTTTAAGAAAATGATTGGTTGATTATCAGTTGCCAGTTTTTGTGAGCCCAACTTGAGATGTTTTAAAGTGCCTTATTTTCAGAGTGGGTCATAAATTGGGTATCCATGGACTCAGACACCCCAAATCACTTACTACATGGAACATCTCTGCCTATAATGGTAATCACAAAAGCATGAACTCCTGCATTAATATACATGCAGGCTTGGAGACTGCTGCCGTTTTGTTATAAACTAAAGAAGAGAGAGAGCAAAAGAAAATCTTAGGGAATTTGTTCCAAGTAATGCTTTTTTCAGAATTCTTTTTTAAACTCTAGTCTGAATTTCTATTCCAGTTTCCCAACAGTGTAAGTGTTGGAATCTACAGAGTTACACTTACATAAAATTAGTGGGAAATGAGGCCTCTTTTCAGTAACACAGCACTAATACAGGGTAGTGATATAGAGGAGGCAGGAGGTGGATTGGATGACTTCTCAAAAAATAAGCATGCTACTTGGAAATTAGTGCGAGTAACAATTTTTCTCCACCCACCAATTTTCACATTGCTCAAAGCCATACAAAACTAAGCATTGAGCAATCCACAGAGTTATTAAGTTGTAGAAAGTGGCAAAACATAATTCTTATACTTTTTGCCCTTGACAGTTATTATATTAACTGAAAGATAACTAATAAATTAGTCACATCAAGCTACCATCTATAACAGGCTAAAAGAGAATAGCATAATTAGCAGATGTAGGCACTCATGAGGCTTTTGTAAAGGCAACACATTTCTTTCTTAGCCAGCCCTTGAAAAGCTGAACATTTCATTTTTTAAAGATATATACAGTGTAATAGGATCCCAGGCTCAATGAACTCATGTGGGGGGGGCGGGGGGTTCCCCAAGTTACTCCAAAAATGAGAGATCTAAGACCTTACAAAATTTTCTGAATGGCTGGAAGAAAAACTCCATAAGTTTAAGTAGCACTATAACTAGAAATTAAATTCTCATAAATGTTGCCATAAATGCAAAAACAAAAACCAAACAAGCAAAAAAAAAAAAAAAAAAAAAAAAAACAACCCTTCCAGTGTTATTTATTTGTGAATGAGTTGGTCCAAAAAAAAAGTGTGTAGTTACCTTAGTAGGTAAGGACAATGATCTTGACAAAAAAGATTTCAAAGTTAAGTTACCCAGTTACCATTAAGTAAAACAGATCTTAAATATAAGACAACAGAGCATATTGGGCTTCACCTCTCACCAGGCACCACCGCACCTCCAGGGAGAATTCAGACCCCAAAACAAGTCAGTAGGTGTTTGCACACTCCTCCATTGGGGGTTACTGCAGTGGACGTCCGACTTCAGAGTTGGATCCTACACGGAACTGAGAGGCTCTATCTCCTACTGCAATAAAAAAGGATTTGGGATGTTCTGCTGGATCAGGCTCTTGAGCAGAGCTGGGCTAGCCAAAGTCCTCATCCAACCCATCAAATTATTTCTGAAGATATTAAATATAACAGCAGTGCACCCATCAGGCTCTCATTTTCTTTGATTTAATGGATGTGCTAAGGAGATGCCTGTATCACCTGAAACAGCATCCACAAATTGGATGTTGTCTGATTAAGCTTTGCATAATACATAAATTGATATGTTAAAAGTAACTTTGGATTTGTTATTATGTGAAATACAAATTTAATGGATTAAAAACCTCCATGCACTGATATAGTTATGAGGCAGTATGAAGGTTTTGTTTTAAATAAAATATGAAACAAAAACAATCCAGATTAGTGGCTTGTTTTGTTATATTTTATTTCTTACTTTCTTGTGCATTTCTTCTTCACATTTATGACAGTCGTGTAAGTTATGTTTAATGTGTGTTTGAGTATGTTACACATCCATTCAGAATGATATGCCAATTGTCTGATTTATGCTGTACTTATGAAAGATTTATCTCTTTCCTGTCTGCTTCATACCTAAATACATGGAATAACACCACCCACTGGTAAGAGCAGGAGGTATTTATATCAAATTTAATTCCAGTATAAAGTGTGGGGAATACCCATGTTACTTGTCAGATTTAGAGTGTGTTCAGTGCTTTCTATTTTAAATGTAAACTTTTTGCATGATGGAAGGGGTAGAAAACAAAGAGAGGGAACCTAAGCAGAGCCAGATGTGGGGCAAAATAGATAATAAAACTTTGGAAATGGTAGACTTGCTTTGCATTACCACATATATTAGCCACTGTTTTACCCCACAGCTCTAATCGTGCTTCTCTTTCCAAAAAAGGTCATGTGCATATGGTTTGCATTAGGTAATTGTTCTGCAGAAATGTCACACTGACAAAGTTGCCATGCTGATCATTCTGCATTTTCTTTTGTGTGGATGCTCTTTCTTCAAACCATATATGCATGCTAGCAGCAAGTACCAATGAAGTTTTCAAGGCTCTACACCATGTGCATATGTGATGGATGTGCATGTAGTTTTGATATCTTCATTGCATGGGATTTCTGTATTTACATATAAAAGGACCAATACTGCCCTCAAACAAGCACACATGACTCCTAGAGCTTCAATTAGAGCTCTGTGGTAGTATCTGAGGGCAGAATTTGATCCAGATTATATTTTTTTTCCCATCTCACAACTGACAACAGAGTAAAAATAAAGTCCAAAATAAGATCTTTCCTCCCTTGAAACATGAGGAATATACATTAAAAAGATTGTTAATAATGTAAAACTTGTTTCAAAAGATGCTTTTACATGTTGGCAGAATCCAGGAAAAGCAGACAAATAAAATGTCACTTTAAAATAATCTGTAAATAGATAACTACATTTGCTTTCATAAAAACCAAAATCCAGATTTTTTTTATTGAAAACAAGGAGATAATGTTTGTTTTAGGTGGCCAAATATAACCACAGCCTTGAAGATCTAGTAGTGAAACATGCTGAGACCATTATTTATTTGTTCCCCTCCACTTCACTTTTACATCTCTTGGATTATTTTTTCATTGCATAATATATTTCATTACATAACATGTTTGGGTAAAACACTTCCACTGATAACGTAATTATGCACAGACTGGATAAACAGGATTTAGGATTTACTTTAATCTGGATCAAAATCTTGAGTCTACAGAATAAGCATAATTCAAATTGTGCCCATATGATATGCACTTTCAAAGTTAAGGTACAGAGATGATTTATAATGAATCCTGTTTCATGAAAGATTCTGCCAATCACTGAGATTCAAAGTGGGGTTTTTTTCAGATTTTTTCAAAGTAGCATGTTGTTTTTCCTCTGTTCTTGTATACTTTTTCTTTCATCTATTGTTATCAGTCCAACCCTTCCTGATAACTGCATGACTTTAATGTTCCTTATATAAAGACACATTACCTAGTGTCTGAGATATTCTTTTTTAAGTTATGCATGCATTTCTCCTAAGCTCTACATTTCCATGGATCTTCTGTGCATCCAAACAGCTTTACTTTATCTAAAAAAAATCCCAAATAAGTGGCCCATGCATTTAGAAGGGTTTATACAAACATGTATTTTAATTAAAATCTTAAATATGAGCCAAATAAATGTTTATTTTTATTTTTAGATAATTGACAAGAGGGGATGACAGCTCTATACTTTTTCTAGTATACATTTTAGACCCTTCTCTTGCAAGCATTCATGCTAATACTTAGTAGGTGCATCTACATGTGCTCATTTACTGTGCGAAATTACTGCGCAGTATAGGCGTGTATCTACACATGCACACCTGTACTACACAGTAAGTATGGCAACTTACACTGACTTGAGTATAAATTTGATACCTGCATCATGTCCCAAGTTAATCCACACAGTGTTAATGTGCTTTAACACCTGCATGTGTAGATGCTGGCCTATTCCCACTTACTGTGCAGTAATTTACTATGCAGTAAATTTAAGCTGGTATAAATGCACATGTAGAAACGCTCAGTTTTATACACACGACTTACCTCATTGGCTTTGGTAGAACTAATTTTATGAATAAAGTAAAGCATATACATAAATGTTTGCAGGATCAGGCTCATAAATTGTACTGTGCCCAAAAAACAGTTTTTACCAGTTCTGGTTTGTATAGGAACTGTGTGGGGGTGGTAGAATCCTTTCTTATTCTCCTGCTGTCTCTTTTTATGTCCAAAGTGATGTTGCCATCAAATGTTGCTGGTAGGGATTCTATGTGCTCCAGAAACATACAAGAGGAAACTCAAAATTCACAATGCAAAATGAAGTTAATTAAACTCATCATGTCTGGAGACTAGAACCATGAATCTCACCACTTTGTCATATCTGAACTGTATCCAAAATTAAAAGCATGCCATAATCTTTAACACATGGTCATAATGTTAAATTATCTCCTCATGATAAACAGCAGGTACAATTGATTGTCATGACAGGAATCATAAGATAATGAAAACAGCCCAAAAGGATCTTAAATATTAATAAAATGGGAAGTTGCCCTTTGGCTGTCTATACTAATACAGTTTAATTAAAATAAAAACACCCTCAGCTAATTGAGAGATCCAAAAGAAAAGTTTTCTAAAACTTAAGTCTGTGAATAAATTTAAGTTGTATTGTTTGTTGCATTGTGTTTTGTGGGCTAAAGGTTCATAAACAGAATAATTAGCAATCTTTCACTGCTCCAACCCTGGATGTTCATGGACTTGAACAGCTTTCAAACCTTAACAATTATGAAAACTATTCTCCTCAGTCAATGGCCTGATAAAATACTTGGATCATTTTTTTTGTCCACAATATACTGGCTCCCAAACACATGAAAGAGATTACAGTGATTCTCCATTACCTCAGAAAGCATCTTTGGAAGGCTGAAGCATGAACAGAGAATGGCTAATTCTAGTGTAAGTATTTCACATAAACCTGTGCCACAGCAGTGATTTAAAACAAAAAGCTTTTACATCTCCATGATGACAGCATCCAGCTAATCTCATTC